CAAGAGAGGACTGAATCCTCCGGGAGAAGGAAATATCAAGAGCAGATAGTTGTTGGTTCACAGATGGCTCAAAAACACCTTCCGGTTCTGGTGCAGGTGTTGTTAGTCGCAGACCCAGGGCAGAGATATCTACCTGCCTGGGAACTTATGCTACTGTATTTCAAGCGGAAATTTACGCTATTAAACTGTGTGCGGAGAGATTGGATGAATCCAACCTCACACACAAGTCAATAAAAATATTCTCGGACAGCCATGTGGCGTTCCAGGAGTGGTTCAGTCCAAGGCGTTTATCTACCCTTCGAAGCTTGATACCAATCAGTTGTTGGACTACAGTAGGGATGAACTACGATGTCTAACAGGCCTTCCTATAGGTCACTGTCATTTGAATCATCATATGCAGAGACTTGGACTGTCGGAAGACAGTGTGTGTCGCCTCTGTTTGGAAAATGATGAAACAGCAGTGTATATAGAAAAGGACAGGATAGGATGACCTAGGAGGACAAATACAGATTACAATAATGCACCTCCTCACAAGTCATTGTTTGCTCGTGATTTTTTGGCCAAAAACAACACCGTAGTCATGCCTCAGCCACTGTATTCATCAGATTTGCCCCCCTGTGACTTTTTCCTGATCCCAAGATTGAGGAGATCCATTAGAAGACGACGTTTTGTGATGATTGGGAAGATAAAAATCGAATTGCTGAGAGAGCTCATGGACATACCGAAAAGTGCATATCGAACTGCTTCCAGGATTGGAAAAAACGCTGGCACAACTGTTTGATATCTGATAGGGTCCACTTTGAATGGAACAAAATAGAAACTGTTGAATGAATATATATTTTTTGAAAAAAAATTAAATTCATCTCATTTTTTGAACAGACGGCGAACATTATCAAAATCAGTTCTTCCTCGAGTTAGCAATTCAAGTGAAAAAGTTTCGTGGAGATGCTAAGAGCGACGTGAAACATGCCTCGCAGTTGTTCATCGAGATATATAATCGAAAGTGGAAAACATGTAGGTACTGTATTTACTTTGGTTTGGTCAAGATCACTCGCACGCAAGATTTCACTTTACTCTGCACTGACTTATTCTACTACTTTATTTTCTCGACATCGCACAACTTTGCACTTATCTTCAAACAATCACTTAATAATTCACAGATATTAAAACTTTATGGCACAGTTTTTGAACAACAGAAACAGCACTTGTCGCTGTTTCGTTCGATTTCAATTCAACTCGATCTAGAGTGCTTAGTAAAACAAGCGCGACTCACGGGCAGTTGCGTAAGAGACTACCTGTATGGCAATTTGCTGCCCTGCTCGCGGAAAGAAGTATCGAGTTCTGTCCGTGGGCGTACGTAGAGGTTTTATCAAGGTGGCGATTGTTTTGTTTTCGATTCTGGTGGATGAATATGAATGAGTTATGACGTCGCGTGTTTACCGAGTCATTTTGTTTAGGCGAACCAATTGGCATTTATTTTATCGAAAGTAATACCTCAAGAAATCCAAATTGGGAAAGAAAGTTTTTGGCTCTCTACTATTCTATCTTGATAAAAAAATATGTGGGAATCTTCCAAAGAAAGGAAGGAAGCAATTAACTTAAAAAAAGGAACTCTACACATAGATGTGTAGATCATGTACTTCCAAAATTAGACCTTTAGACTGAGCATACGTTTCAAAGATCATCTACCACCCTGCTGGTGGATGTAGATGAAAACATCACTGCTTTGAAGAGGCGTGGAGGATGGAAGTCAACATCTGTGGCGAAAGGATATATAGATGATTCGATCTAAAGTAAAAATGTTTCTGCAGAAAAAATCTTGAATTCGATGAAACAACCATCTACCAGTACCAATAACGAAAATATGAATGGGGATATCGTATCCCCGATACCATCTGTTATGGTATACAACTTTTCGAGTTTTACCATCAATTGTATTAACAAAAAATGATTTCGTTCATGGAAATTGTTGGAAATATTATTATCGATATTTCAATAAAAAAAAGCTTCGCACATTAAAAGATAAGACCTCGTTAATCCTTTGTTGGCACAAGTTCCAACATCTGAGGGGGCGACAGCTGATTAACGGAAAACACTTTTTTTAAACAAACTTTCATTAGGGATATCCTCACAACTGAATCTCATTTTAAAATATTTCTGTTATAAGTCATAGAAAAAGTATAGTATTTTATTCGCAAGAAATGGGCATTACTCGCTTGAAAAAACTACGCTTGCCTTCGGCTTTCGTCGACAAACTTCATTCTCACGAGTGATGGCCATATATTTGAGTCATTTTGCATATTGTGATGGTACGGTTCATGTCTGGATAAAAAAGACATTTGTAGGATTGAAAGATTTCAAAAATCATGTCTAAGGTATACCTATATATGGTAGATATTAGAAAATATGACAGAATTTCATATAAACTTTAAAAAACAAAATGGTTAACTATGACAAATAGACGTGTTTCACCCTCTTCCATAAAATATTAATTAACAAATGTCCATCATATTTGTATTACACAATAAGATTTCGTAGCGATGTACATACTTTAAATTTGAGGTTTAAAGGGTTACTTTCCCCTCCTCCCCATCGAACCACTCTATATCGACGATTACTCAGTTATAACATATGCAGTTTGTATAATACTATTCCACAAAAATATAAATTTAGTAAAGTTTCCTTATTTAAGTGCTGTTACAAAAAATATATAATCGCTGCTCCATCAGGAAGTCATTGATTTCATACATTTTATACTTCTGAAAAATTTTCAGTATGAACATTCAACATGTTTTCTCTTTTTCTTCCCTCTGTCCTACCTTTTTATTTTTCTCTTCTTTTTTTTGTTTTTTATCTAGTTTAGTTTTCTTTTCTTCAAGGCTAGAACTAAGATCAACCGTACCCTTTTTGAATTGTTTTTCCACAAACCTAGAAGTTTTCTTCGTATTACTACTCACGAGCGACGTTTACGTCATTCAACAATTCCTTAGCGATGCTCATGTGACGGTTTTTTTGGTCAAAATTCAGCAATTTTGGAACGAACTTCGCTGCCGGACGTTTCATGCTCAAAATTTACAAAAAAATAGCATGAGCCAACCGACTGACTCAAGAGTACAATCACCGTATGCCACTGTCGACGATTCGCAAGTGTTTTTTGAGAACTTAATTCCATTTTCACACGATATTTGATGTAAATTTTTTTGATCCATTTTTTTCGATAGTCAAAATTCGCCGAACACGCAAAAAACTTCTAACTTTTATGCCACTTACTAAACTAAACTAAACGTGATAAATAGCTGAAACTGTGCACATATGCACCAATGGATTTGTTTGGGACCTGCACCCCAAGTTTTACTACAAATCCTTCGACATGTCCATAGAGACAGTCTTGGCTTTGTGTAAAACTTTTTCCAAGTGAGCGTTTCAGGTGAGTCTTTTATCAAGGACAATGCCAAGATATTTCACCTCCGTTCCAAATGGAATGACCTCACCAATGAGGGAAAGTGACGTTGAATCGTCCAATTTTCTCCTCCTGGTGCTGGGGTTGACAGACATCTGCTCCCTCAGGCACCAACTGTGAACAACGTCCAACGTGCTTTGGAGGATAATACAAGCTACCCTTCTCGATGTGGACCTTGCCAAGATGACAAGGTCATCTGCATAAACTTAAAGGTCTACTTTTCTTCTGCCGAGGGCATCAAGCACACTATCTATCAGAAGCGACCACAGAAGGGGAGATAGTACCCCACCTTGAGGGCAGCCCCTGGTGACCTTGAACCTAATGGCCCCGCCTTGAATAGTCAAGGTTACAGTTCTGTTTACCAGCAAGACATGGTCGATTATGGTCGATTCTATAGCTTTCCTAGTCAGAGACGATCCTATAGATTCAGGTAGTGCATTTTCGGTATATATACCACCCTTGCTGCCAACCAATTGGGTGGTATATAGTTCCACGCCAGACTAGCTCTATACAATTTTGTGAGAATAGGTAAAATTATTTCCAGTCCGTTTTGAAGAAGAGCTGGAAATACACCATCCTCTCCAGGAGATTTGAAAGGCTGAAACGACTTGATAGCCCATTCAACTGTCGGTGCTGTGATAACCTGCTTTGCGACCTCCCAATCGTTTTTTTTTTGGGCGTTTGGCGCCCTCGAAGATGGGAGGTTTGTTGTTATAAAGAGTCAGATTTCCAGGAAAGTGGTTTTCTATCAAAAGCTCTAACGTGAATGTTCCATCGGGTCGTTTAACCGACCCAATTTCTGCAGTCGGCTTTCTAGAGAGAATCTTGTGAATTCTTGTGCGCGAGGTAAATCAGATATACTCTCGAGACAAGTGTACTAACATTAAAAAACGCTAATCGAATGTATATAGCCCGAGAAATTTGAACATGCACCTTTCTTTAACAATCCACATATGAGCAGAGATGAGGGTCAAAAGGAGAAGTAGCTACAGACGCAAGACTTCGTGCAAAATAGGTGTAACCTGTGTCAAAGCCGTTTTCCGGGTTTGTTAGCCGTGGTTTGCAGGTTTTGTACACGTGAAGTTTCGTCCACGGCTGCGGTAGGCGTTATCAAGGGCGATGAGATAACGAATGCAGTGTTCTCGTTGTCTCCTCCGCATATACTAGTCAGTGGAATCCATTATATCAAAATTCCGTTCAGCGATCAGAATCTGTTCAGTGAAAGTGCTTGAAATTCATGTTTTTCAAGTGTAATGGATTCTATCCAGCTAGAAGCACAGATCAGAATATTTTATTAAGCACATTCAACTTAGAAGCCCTAGCAGATAGAAAAAAATGGCACCGCATTCATGTCATTGTGGAATCCTCTCCTAGATCAACTCTTCGTTTTTTTTTAAGTAATAGGAAAATCTTTTTACTTCGAAAAGGACAGATCAAAAACTGCCAATGCAAAATCAATTTTTTCCAGGATCAAATAAAAAACAGACCACGATAAACATAAGATTATTATATTTTTTAAAATGAGGAATGAACCACAAAATTTCGGAGCATTATATATTTTTTAAAGTATGTTGCAAAATAAACTAACCTTTTGTACAAAATCAAGTCACAAGAAAGTAAAGTTACTTAGGTCATAATTGCTAGAAAAATATATCAACCTACTCTAGTGGACAACAGAACATAAAGTATAATTAGTCTTAACCCTACAATTTACGTAAATCTAAAACAAACACGCTACCATCCGAAGCGCTGGCTCCAACTTTGTCCCCTCTGGAATTCCAGCACACCTCAAAAATACCTCCCGTCCCCTTGTAACTGTGAACGAGCTGCCCCGTTTGCGTCGACCAAATATGCACGCACTTATCGAAACTACCGCTCGCCAAAAACTTTCCGTCTGGACTGAACGCTACCGAATAGACAGGCTCGGTGTGTTTGGTTAGAGTATGAGTACACGCCCCCCTTTCCACGTCCCACAGTCGAACCGTGGAGTCAAAGCTGGCAGATGCGAGAATTAAATTCATGTTGGGGTTCTGGGTTCCGGGCCCTGTCGGAGACCATTTGATGGTATATATTTCTTTGGAATGGGCCTGCAGGTCGTGGACACAAGTATCGTGCTTCATTGACCAAATTTTCAGGGTCATGTCGTCTGAGCACGAGGCCAGGAGTTGACCCTGAGGGTCCCATTTGATGGCGTTCACTTCATTCTGGAATAGACAAAATAAAATCAAAATTATTCCCGTATTTGGCTTTTCCAACAAAATCCTTTTGAATACACAATCACAAAAGCATAGATACAGTTTGCGAGGTTGTGAATTATCCACAGCTGTGCAACCGCACGCGATTAGTAATTGAAAAATTTGTGATATACGTTGTCGAAGCCAGCAGTTTCAATGGCAAGTTTCGAGGTGACAATAGATCAATAACACGATTTCCTATTATACCTACAGAAGTGCCAAGTCATTTTGAATATGTGCAATTTCTAATTAGATTGACATTTGCAATGACTATTGATAAGACCCAAGGCCAAAATATGTTCGTTTGTGGCTTGGATTTGAACACACCATGTTTTTCACACGGCATGGTCTCCAGCAAACCATCCAGTTTGTTTGTGTTAGCTAAACATTTACTAATGAAAAATATTGTACATACTAATATCATTGAGGGATTAATATTATTTGTATGTGTTATTGTTCTGACACACATAATGAGTTAGTTATTATTTTCTACCCTAGAAATTTCCTATGTGGCTAACCAACGTTTGCCGGGTTAGCTAGCGTTTGTCCTATTATAAACAGCCAAGGTTGTTTGGGAAAGTTAAAATAAAGTTGAGAAATACTCACGGTATGACCCTGGAAGGATTTTATAGGTTTATCCATGGACAATTTGCAAACGTGTATACACTGATCTGTAGAGCAACTGGCGAACGAGGTATTAGTCTGCCAATCGACATCGAGGGCTGGAGCAGAGTGGAAACTGAACTGCTGAGTACACTGACCACTAGCTGCGTCCCAAATGATGGTAGTTTTATCAACCTACGAAAAAACCTTGTTGAAATATCTAGCAGATGCTAACGTTGAATGCAAGTGAGTTTGAATACCACAAATATGAAACACAGTAAATTTGTCACTGAATGATTTACTCGCTTTATGAATTCAGGGCTGAGAGAGGTTTAGTGATTGGCTTCGGAAATAGTAAATCAGAAGTAAAAATATGATGACAAGATTTATTATAAGGAATAAATATAAATGAATAAACAATGGTACATGCAAGAATTTGAATTCGTCAATCACGAAGTGCAAACCAAGCCTTTTGGCAAAGTATTACATAAAATCTGTTTTTCCGTTAATCAGCTGTCGCCCCCATACGAACGAAAACTCTCAGAAGTTGAGAGACTTGTGCGAACTGAGGACTAACGAGGTCTTACCTTTCAACGTGTCATTGCTAACACGGTCAATAAAAACGCTCGATATTATCGTTAATAATATTATTATAAAAATTATAAGGCATCAGAAAGAACACATTTTGAAATTACTTTCAGATGAATAAAATAGAATATGTTCATTCCATCACATCAACTACAAAATGTACATTAGTGACAAGTCAAACTGACAAACAAGAATAACAATAATTGAACAATAGTTGTTGTTATACACGCTTATTACATCTAAAACAATTATTATGGAAATAAAAAAAATAAAAAACACATGTAACATATTAAAATATTAATGTCTCACGGATGATTCTGGAACTGTGTTAGTAATCACACGTTGAAAGGTAAGACCTCGTTAGTCTTGGCTATGATCCGATTGCTTTTTTTGCATACGAAAGGCTTTAATTGCATGTGAATACCTAGGAACAGTTGTGTAGAAAGTTTTTTGCACAGACCAGCAACATGTCATCAATTTTAAACACCAATAAATCTACATGTTGCTTCTTCCTTAGTTGTCTATTTGATGATATAATTTTCTGTGTCTTATCCCTGTTTAGTTTGAGATAATTTGAAGTAAACCAAGTTTCAGCATCATTATCTGTTCTAGAACATAGGTCCATTAAGTCTTTAACATTTGAGTCTGCTTTTACCATTGATACATCATCTGCATAGCAAAAAGATAAGCTTGATAGTAAGAAATTGAAAATATCATTATTATATACCACAAGAAGAGTTGGTCCCAGTATGGACCCTTGTGGTACACCGTGCAAAATGGATCTACATGTGCTAGAATTTCCAGATGTATAAACAACTTGTTTTCTCCCACATATGCATAGTAAGTTGCAATATTTCATAATATCAAAATAGTAGACAGCCAAAACCTTTCTTTCTCAAAAATATACCTCTTTGAATCAATTTGAAACATATTTTTGAATGGAACAACTTATTCATTTATGAATAGAACGCTACCATCTGAAAAATATGAATATGAGTTTGAAGTTCAGTATTGTCTGTTGCTACTAATTCTGGACAAAATTATAACTTATCAACTTACTCCAGCTGAAAGTATGTAATTTCCTCTTTTATTCCACTTGAGAGCAAAAATAGGTCCCTTGTGTTGACCCAAGGTACTAGCTAGGCGTCCATCTGTAGTCCAAATTCTAGCATAACCATCGTAACTACCAGTAGCTAGAAGGCTTCCGTCACACTGAAATTAAAAAAAAATTATAAAATCCTATTGTTCCCCACCATACATTTGATCCGAATAATCGACAATCTGAAAGCTGGATCAGAAAAAAAATGTTTTGCCCACCAAAATTGGAGGCAGTCTATAGAAAAAAGTTATGCATCAAAATCATCATCAGTGAGTGGACAAAGAATGAAAGAAAATCAATTGGCACTCACCCAAAACTATTTTTTGTATTAGGTGTTTTTTCAAAGAGATCTTTGAAGAAAATATGGTAAATTTTCGTTATGTGGACACCCGGCGATTTTGAAAAAATTTTTGACTGTACTTATGCCCGCAGAATTTAAACAATCATCTTATTTTTTAAACAGTCCATGTATCTTTGTGAATGACATACTCTTTGTATGTCATTGGATCAAACTCATCATATCAGAATCAACCTTTCTTGTATATATTATTTGGAACTCAGAAAAAAAATACCAGTTCATATCTTATACAAAATATACTACCACAAATCTACTCACATTCCAGTCAAGCGACGTAACGTCTTTGTTACTCGGTACTTCTGTTCCACCTTTCTGAATGCAATGTCTCAATACCAATTGATTGGGACTGGCAGTATTGTCAGACATATCCCAAATCCTAGCTGTACTATCACCTGAGCCACTGGCTAATAAATCTGTTGTGGGGTTCCAGGCGCATATAAAAACTTCAGATTCGTGTCCACGAAGTACAGTTGCTTTGGATGAGGGAATTTCAATGGAAGTATCCACCTCCATTGTCTCACTCTGGGTAGATACGACTGCTGGAAAATTAAGTGGATTACCTAACGGGACCTATCCGATCATTGCCTGAGATTTAAAAGTTTTCTTTTATAACACCAATGTATATGACTGAGAATGACACATGTTATAAAAACAATATTCAAGTATGATAGTTTGATGACTTCATAATAACGTGAATATTATATTCAGACAATAAATGGAATTTTACCTTCCTCTCCATTGGTCTCCGTTTGTTCGGCCTTAATAGCCTGTTTCTGCTGATTTTGCTGGTTCTGTCTGCTAGCGACAACATCTGGCATAACAGCATCGATCAGACTCAAACTTTCAAGCAGCCTAAGTTCCGTTCCATCTTCTCCAATACTAATTTCAGCTTCAGTGTATTGAAGACCTTTCTGCAATATACTGAGCAGAGCGGCAGGCGGTACTAGTGCTCCATTGATATTTGATTGTGATATATGGGATTCAATGCCAAACGTGTATGCAGAATGCTGGAATCCTACAAGATATTTCTTTTAATGCATGCACTGATGAGTTGGGTCAGTATTTACCTGATTCTTGTAAATATCTATAAACTAAAAAGTTTACTTCATCACTTGAAAAACTCATCCTGGGTTTTTTATTCAGAACATTGGTTATATTTTACAAAATTGTATAAATGCTATGAGAGATAAAACATGAAGGCCCAGAAACATTAAAACTTCGACTTGCTCTGCAAAAAAATATAAATGAATGTCTAAGTGAAAATTTGTGTTTTTCATAGATACCGACTTACATTATTTTTTAAATCTCAAAGGAATCAAAAGAATACAATAATACAAGATAATTTCCTCTACTGTTTATATCACAGATCACAGAACAGAATTTACTTTTAAGTTCATGTATATGTCAGTGACGTCAAAATATAGAGTGGCTTTTGAAGAGAGAACATCGACTCCAACAACTGAAGAAAGGAAAGGAGATTCACATCTTTGGTATTTACGTCACTCATACACTTGACGTTCGATACGTCACGATGTTTTACGAGTTGCATATTTTCTTTGTGAAATTTTGGGATTTGATTTGTCACATTTTGCTGTGACCAGTGGACAAAGCGTTGTGTCATCCGCAGGTGGAATGAAGTGACATCAGGTGTATGTGTACAACATAGAAATGAAAATGAGGTGAAACTGCAACCTCTGGCGTAGAATAAATCCAAAACAAGCACTAACTATAGAAATATAATACAATCCATACAATACTCTTATCAGAGGATTGCATTTCTGGTGATAGAAAAATAGCTAGTTTTGGATGATAATATAGATTGGCCGTGACGTTACTATCAAATATATTACATATTACACCAGCGGAATACACAACGTCTTGTCCAGTGAGTCACAGAACTATGTGACGAATCAAATTCCAAAATTCTCACAAAGAAAATATGCAACACATAAAACATCATGACGTTTACTCCATTAGTGGCCCGATGCCAAGACGTGAATCCCTTCATTTTTTTCAGTTGTTGGAGTCAATGTTTTCTTCTCAATAGCCAGTCCATATTATAACGTCACTGATACTAAGTGTACTAAGTATTGACAAGTGACAACTGGCATTTATTGAAAAATGGAATTCTCTTTATCTCTCTAAATGTTTTTGCTTCCATTTCCATTCTGGCGCATTTAGCTAAAAAAACCATGAGTATTGAAAGGCAACTGATTTCTATCATCATCGGTGATGTCTTTTGATAGATGATTCGATGATAAAGTATCTTGTGTCAGTTGCAACTTGGCTCCCTTGGGAAAAACTCTCGACAGCTCCATTTAACGTCAATATTTTTACACCTACACACCTATTGATAGTGAATGACAAATTTGTAGCAACACAACACGTAACACAAGGCCTCTCTAATATTTTACACTTGTGCTGTTCAGTTTCTGCTACTGTTTTTCCGTTAACTAGCTATCGCCCCTCCCCCACTACGAATAACAACATGCAAAAATCTAAACTTGTGCTAGCTAAGAATCAACGAGGTGTTATATTTTAACGTGCGAGTTATCCTTTTGAAGTGCATTCAAAGTTCCATATTCAAACCCTGGTTTTCATTATGAGTGAGTGTGTTTCATTGGCCTTTCCAGATTGAATCATTTTCTCGCCAAAAGTTATTCGCTATATATGCTCGATCACATAACAGCGAGCAAAAATAGCGAATAACGTTTGGCGGGAATGTCCCAGTATGGAATACGATTAATGCAAAAAAAACACACCTGTCGGCAACAGCATGAATATCTAACCAATTGTAGTTAAATATTCAAATGGACCAATGAGTGGATCCGATGGATGACAATAATGACTTTCCTATATTTGAATTGAAGTTGAAGTGAATTATTACTTTTTCAGATGTACTTTGTTTTACGATTAATCAAACGTCATATTTATTATAATTGAATGTTAATAATGCACATTTTCTGACTTATAAAGTTTTCTTGTCATATAGTGACTTATTGAAATGAAACCTCGTGTAACCGGCGCGGCAAAATAAAAATCCAGAGTATAATCTGATGAGTCCTTCGATTAATTCGATGAATTATTCCATCCGTTCAGTCCAAACGATCAAAAACTCATTTTATGTGTGATGTGTGAGCTTCATGATATGGTGAGTATAGTCCAAGATGGAATTTTACTGTCAAAGCTTGTTATGTGAAATGAACAGTAACTATAAATGAATATGAGCATAAATTATACAAATATAAACATAAATATAATCATACAATACATACACGTATAATACTTCTCACATACATATATAATACTTCTCAAGGTCCTAAATGAGCGTTTTATAGGAGAATTTTGCAATCTTTGATTTCTTTCAAAGAATTGGGTACATAAATTGTATGTTTTCTTGCTCTCATATATTATAGAACACTTCGCTGGATTCAGATATTGGCAGTAGGAGATACTCCAAATCGTTCTGTGCCTCTGTTTATGAATAAAAGAAAAAAAAAAATAAACATGTCGGTATCGTAGTATGGCGTCGGGTAGCGAGAGTGCGAAGAAGTTGGGTGGCCCTTCTCCTTCGGGGGAAGAATCTTCGGAAAGTGATGAAGAAACTGAACCGGCAAAATCCTTTCACAGAAGAGTGTCCACGAATCGCGAAATAAACAGTTCGGTATGTGTGTTTCTGTGTCAATAATCGAGAGTGTCTCGATCTTTCAGTATGCAGATGAAAAAGATAGCATGCGTGTTTTGTTTATTTTGATAGCGATCTAAAGTTCTCAAGTAGGCGTGGTTGCACTATTCATTGAAAATAAGCTCGCAAATCGAGCACGATGTTTGCATTGATTGCTTTTGGCCCGCTGACAACGCTTATTTTATATGTCGATCAAATTTCTGACCCACTTAGTTTACTCGCCTCATTGTTGCATTTTGGTTTATTTCTGTAGCGTTTGATTTTAATCGATTGTACTTGACTGTTTCAATAAACAACTGTAACATTGAACTCGCATCCGTTTATTTCTACCAGCTGTTCACGAGTAGGCTTTGGATTGTTTTTGTTTCTAACCTAACTTAGTGGAATGTTTTCGTCCAAAATACCGAATCAAATTCCAGTGAAATTGTGTGCAAGTTTAATTTTCATGAGGCGCTTCCAGAGCTGCTTTCTACGAGCGTTTCGGTGTGTAGAACGCGTAACAGGTGTACGCATTTGGAACATGTGCTGGGTTGGCCCGTAAATCGATAATTCGACTACCTAGTTCCCGGTCTTTTCCCGGCGCATTGTTTCTTTTATGTCTCTCCGTTTTATGATGTTTCTATGCTGCGGTCGTGACGGGATATGCCCCGTTTAGCGGATTCGAATTGAAATGCGTCCATGAATATTTGTTAGCTCGAGTCGTCGTGTCGAACGGATATAGGAATGCGAGAATTTAATTTCATGATGTAGTTAGAGCCATAACGGTTGGGAATATGGGGTGGTTGAGAGATGTAATTGACCGTATTCAGATAAAAATAGTTGTATATGTACATGTCCTAAGAAGACGTGTAAAAACTTTAATTGTGAATGATAATTTTCAAATAACATTTTACGGTGAAATTTTCACTGAACAGCTTACAAAACCACAACCGTGTTTTACTTTACAACAGCTTGTTCAGGCATGTTCATAGCCACATACTTTGAGTATACTGTTTAGTTTGTGGTTCCCACAGTATGTGGTTGTACTTATTGTTCTGTATCAAATATATGAGTGTTGCCAATACGGAAACCCCTGAAAATTGTATTGTTATTTTTACGTGAATATGGTCAATTGAAGGGGGAGAAAGAATTTAATTTTTCAAATGTTTTGTTAAGATGAATGAGCACTAACTATTGAAAAAATTCTCGGAGTCTTCCTTGATATTTGTTAGAAATTAGCAAAGAACTGAACCTGGAATAGTAATTTGGTGAACATAATTTGGTAATAGCGACGACAAACATTCAAATTCATTTAGTGAAGTGCTATAAAAGCATAAAAACAGTTGTAAATGTAACAAATAAATCGTCCCGTTTTCAATTTTGAATACATATAGGTATTTGTGTGTTTTAGTACAGAGATGTTACTTCATGAAAAACTAAAAATTTGACAATAATCCATCGCTTAGGTACTTCTTACTTCTTACTTGAGACTACTTCTGAAGAAATCATGGTAGGGACTAGGGTCAATTGAAGCGCAACCTCTGCTGCAGGCAACCAGTGATGCAATTGAACCCAGGATTGTTTTTTAATAAACCCTACAAAATACAAATAAAACAGAATACTGAGTCAGATGCTACGAATACAATACGCATATATACAGACGGCTCAAAAACCAAAGAAGGCTCAGGATGTGGAGTGTACTACCGATCACTAAGCTCAAGGATTGAGTGGGGAATGGAAAACATACCAGCGTGGTCCAAATAGAACTGGCTGGTATCTCAATCGCCTCAAAATAAATAACCAGGAAAGGAATTTCTGGCAAAAACTGCAGTGCACTGTAATGATAGCAGACAAGACCTTTTAGCCTTGAACAGACAACGTGTTACCTCAGGGTTAGTACTAGAGTTCCACTAAGATTTAGCCAAAGCCTCTGTAGATAATAACATTATTCTGAGGTGGGTTAAAGGGCACGACAGGAGTAAAGGTAATCGCATTGCCGACTCTTCAACCAAGAAAGCGGTTGGACTAATCATTTTAGGATCCAGTGACACCTACGGCCTTCGACAATTGCGGAACTAGCTAAACGTCACACCCATGCTCAATCCCTAAAGAGATGGAATGGAATCAAAGGATGCAGTCTTGTCAGGATCACCCTGGGCAACCCTGGGAAGCTGGCGCCGAAGAAATATCTGGCGATGACCACAATATGGGGCTAGTGGACACACCTCTACGCAGGATGTGTGAACAAGAAGATGAAACTGTCAGGCATGTGCTATGTGAAAGGCCAGAGTTATCCTCAATAAGAGAGTGTGTTTTCGGTGAGTTTTGGCCTACATCTTCCGATATAAAGGAGATGTTGACCTGTCCACCTTCCTAGAAAGGACAGGATGGACGATGACCTAGGAGGACAACTCCTGTGGGCTTACACTAACCCTCCCTACTCTACAGATACAGATGTAGGGACTAGAATATCAGGCCCCGGGAAAAAATACCGGAATACAAATAAAAAAATCGAATGTGATATCCCGTTTCTGACATTTCAACAACGAAGTATACTGATTCCACGTGGTACAAATAAGAACGGACACTCGCCTTGTTTGCCATCGATTGAGCTAAAGTTGTCATTTTAGAGAACTAAGGTTAGAATGAGACCAATATATAGTGGCCATAGCAAAAAGGGTTGAGAAGTTATGTAAAATAAAAATATAGACAGAGATTGAAAGATTGAAAAATTGATTGACTAAAACGAAAAAAGCGCTAGTGTCGGAAGTTCGTCACTAGTTATGACCCCTTTCAGAAAATCTGGATCGCCGTTGACGACATTCAACAAATACTGAGCGATGCTCATGTGACGTTTTTTTTATCAAACTTAGCAATTTAGAAACGAACTTCGCTGCCACACGCTTCATGCTCAAAATTACCGAAAAAAATGCATGCCATGGGCCAAACGATATGCCGACATCCTCAGCAACTTCTCTGACAGTGATTCGACGATTCTCCATAATAATTTTCTTCACCTCCTCAATATTTTCATCGGTTGTTGATGAGCTGGGGCGTCCGGGGCGAGCGTCGTCATTCACAACCTTTTATGAAACACTTGTACCACTTTAAAAAAATTCTGACTCGGAGTACAATTACCATATGCCACTGTCAACATTTCAAGTATTTTTGAGCACCTAATTTAAATTTTCACACAAAATTTGATGCAATTTTTTTATCCTGTTTTCACTGCCGAACACGCCAAGCACTTTTATGCCTCTCACCAACCAACTAAACATGCTGAAACTGTAAAAATATACCAACAAGAAAAAATAAAAAAACACTAATGGAATGTACGGAGCTCGCAAATTCTGAACGAGAGACGATTTTTCAAGATGAACATCCCCTATTAGACCAGTCACTTTAGCATAAAAAGGGGTTAACTTCGAAGTGAGAGGTAATGAGATGAATATTTGTATATACCTTCATTATGGCGTTCTAAAAGCTGTGTCAAAAGTCTCATAAAATATCGTGTCTGTACCGGAAGTTATACGAGGTCAAAGGAAAAAAAAACAGTTTTTCGCGGTTATCTCAGTTACTATTGCTCCAATGATGTTAACATTCATTATAATTGTGAAGCATAAAATTTAGGATAAATTTTATTCGAAACTTTTTTTCATGCGTTCAATCGTTTTTGAGATAGAGGGTGGTAAACGCGCAGCGCTCTGCCGTGCCTACTGTAATCCAAGGTCAACCGTGAATCTGTGAATATTACCCTCAATTTTGAATAATTTGTATTATTCATCAGTAAATATATTATATTTAACAACATTTTATAATTCACATATATTGATTTAATAATACTTACCTACTTTGTGTAGTTAAAAACTCATTATGAAATAATTATTGTACATTTTAATGTATTGAAAATACATTTTGAACATATCAGTTTTTGAATAATTCTTCATACATTATATACTTAGTTCACGAGACAGATGTTCCGTAGTTAAAACCGGTTTTTTTCGAGTAACTGCTTTCTTATGATGCACTGTTTGGAACCTTTGGTGTAGTAATGAATATTACTGGAGTTTTTTCCCAACACCAAATCGTTATTTTCAACACCTCAACACGTTAATGTATTTTCAATACATTAAAATGTACGATAATTATTTCATAATGAGTTTTTAATTACACAACGTAGGTAGGTAAGTATTATTAAATTAATATGTGTGATTTGTAAAATGTTGTTAAATATAATATATCAACTGATGAATAATACAAATTATTTAAAATTGAAGGATAACATTGAAAGATATTCACGGATGATTTTGGATTATAGTACGCACGTCAGAGCGCTGCGCGTTTACCGCCCCCTGCCTTAAAAACGATTGAAGGCATGAAAAAAAGGTTCAAATAAAATTTATCCTAAATTTTATGCTTTACAATTTTTATAATAGATGTTAACATCCTTGGAGCAATAGAAACTGAGATAACCGCGAAAAACTGCTTTTTATACGTTTGACCTCGTATAACTTTCGGTACAGACACGAGATCATATGAGACTTTTGAGACAGCTTTTAGAACGCCATAATGAAGGTATATACAAATATTTAGCTTATTACCTCTCATTCCGATGTTAGTGGCTAAATTAACAGGACTATATGGTTTTGTTGGAAATGAGGTAACGGGATACAAGAAACGAGAATTTATCTTGCCTTAGTGTGGCAGTACTAATGTTCATACTCTCTAAATGATTTTTTGAAAACTGCGAATGATTACAATTTTTTTCATAAGGTAGCTTGTTGAAATCATTTAATAGTTATCTGGCCTGTTGCAATTCAGACAGTAATTAATGGAAACTCCTTATCATAACGTTAATGTTGTTCACGATCGATATGGTAATACAGGGATTATAATGAGGTATAGTCGGAATCACCCGGAAACCAGTGATATGGCCAATATCCATCGCACTGATATAATTACCACGGATTTCATCGAAATTACGAAATCCGATCAATTAT